ACAAAGATATCAAACATTTGGGGAAAAAATACTTGGACGACAAGAAGTATGCCATGTCTTGCAATATAATGTCAAAGAAAATCTTTATTATTAAATAAGATAGTTCATTTTTTGGGTCCATACCAACATAACAGATTACACTTAGCCATGATCATGAACATCAAATCATGTCAATGGACTTCAAAAACTTTAATTGTTACAGAATAGGCCAACAAATGTATATCAAGTTAACACCGTTTCTCACACGCAGTTTCTTTCTATGCATGGAATGACCAAAAAAAAATATACAAACTAGAGAGAAACATATAGGTGCAAACCAAACCCGTGCACCTCGCACACCAACCAAAAAGTGAGGAAAGAAAACTGGAGGATTCGTACCCTAAACCTCCTCCAAACCAAGCTCCGGCACATGTTGGACAATCACTTAATCCTAAAAGCTTAAACTTTTAGGAAATGGTCACAATGTCTATCAAGCATATAGAATCGAAAATTCGATTCTAATTGATTTTCCGGCAGTTGAGTCTTACTTCTCCATTATTCCCAGTGAGAGGCTTGATGTTGCCCATGTTGATCATAGAATTTGCAAAGTCTTTTAAAAAAGATTCCGAGTTCCTGCTGTACTTCAGCACCAGCTTATCACTATCTGTACCATTATTTTTATAGAGCTCTTGATCAGAATGGAGGAGACCCTTTTGTTGTAACAAAGCCTTAAAGTAGACGTTATCGAATCGCCTTGTAGTTGAATCTAGTGGCCTTGTGTTGTTATCTCCTCCAGTTGTTGGACAATTGTATTTTGCAGAGGCTGCAAACTTGGGGTCTATGTTGGTATCATTGTAAATCCTGGCACGGAAGGTTGTACACCGAGCAAGTCCAATGGTGTGGGCAGCTGAGAGCACAACCAAGTCTTTCGGGTTAAGTCCATGAGCTTGGAAGTTAGAGAGAAGCTGAATAATGGGGGTGGAAGATTTCTGTTTGTATTATTCACGCTTGCATTTCTTGCATCCCTTCTTCCTAATTGTACTTTGTAATCAGGGCCTCCCAACTAAAACACAAACACAAAATTTCATTAATAAAAACATTTCATACGTCTTAAGAAAATGAGTACTGTTAGCGTCACCAAATTTGTCCGCCAAATGAATATTAGGGTTTAGTATGAAAATGGAACGTATACTGGGACAATATTTGGTGAATACATTTGATGAACCTAGCAATATTAGCAAACATGTATATACTCACAATGGATACAGAATCACGAGCTGCAACGTTGAATCCCCGGATCGAATTCAGATTTAGGAAGGCGGTCTTCTCACCGATGAAGTTGGCAGTATTATCAAGCAGCACTGATCCATCGCAACCCTGTATCAATTCAACCATGAACGCATATCAAGAAATTTTTTTTTAGAACTGATCATTTACATTAACAACTATTTCAAGTGCACTATATGCATGCACAACTATGTTGCACCGATATGGATACGAGTACAGCGATACGATACGGTACGATACGATACGTCGATACGGAAAATCTCTAAAAATAGGATACGGATTCGGCACCGATACGGAGATTAAAATAATATAAATATAAATATTATAAAAATATAAACATATATATGTAAAATTATATATATATATATATATGTAAAATTAGCATTTGGGCTTTTTTTTCTAGTTCCTTATGTTTTTCTAGGCCATATATGACTTGTTTCAGTTCTTGGGTTTGGCCCAAATGAATGCATCAGAATTAAAAAGTATAAAACAATTTTTTAGAGTGCTGCTATTTCCACCCCCTTGTCCTATTTCCCCACCCACCTTATCTTCAAAATTTTAAAGACAATTTGTCCATTTGTAAAATGACTTCTAAGGACTTAAAGGAAAAAAACTCAACTAACATATCCCATCTATTCTAGGGTTTGACAAAAAGAAGAAGAAAAAATTAAAGAAGAAATCGTACATTTTTTCCCCTCTGCAAAACCAGCCAACAAAAAAATTTCATGTTTCAATAATTAATAACAGTAAAAGAAAATTGAACCAAACAAATTAAGAAAGTCTCATCTTCTCTCTCTCTTCACTTTTTTATTATTATTATTTACTTTTTTAATCATTATCAAAGCTACACAGAGACTTAATCCTTGGAAAGTATTTTTTGGGAGGAGATGGGTGTTGTTCACGGTAGTTTTCTTGGTTGTCAAGAGAGAAAGTTGGCGCAGCTGGGATGCATTCTGTGTATTCAGAAAACACTGAAATAGGGCAGGGCATTTTAGGAATAATGGTGGGTGGAAAAATAAGATTGTATTTTTTAAAATTTATGTTGTGGGTGGAAAGATAAGGTGGGTGGGAAAATAGGACAGGTGGGTGGAAATAGCAGCACTCTTTTTTTAACAAAGGCCACCAAATATGCAAATAAAACGGTGCGTATTGTAATTGGGGCACCCAACATCATCTTCTTCACTAGTTAGCCGCCTCTTCGTTGCACATCAATTGTTTGCAACTGCAGATTAGCAGCAGCTGCAAGCGCAAGTAAGTTCTTTTCTTCTTCATTCTTCCTTCTTCCTTCTTCTTCCTTCTTCTTCTTCTTCTTCTCTTTTAGTTGCTATCAAAGTTACCCATTTACATATCGGGACAGTATCGCTAGCGTATCGTGATCATATCAATGGAATATCGGAGCCGTATCATAAAGTCAACATCCTAGAAAAGTCTACAATACACCACATGGCATATCGGATATGTATTGATGCCGTATTGGTGCCATATCGTATCGGCGCGGTATCGGATACGAGCATACCCCACAAATCCGGCGTATCAGTGCAACATAGATGCACAATCAATATAAGCTTAATTACATTAACAAAACAATCCTGGAAATGAAGGCGAAGTAGAGAGGCTCCGATGCGTGGCTCCTGGCTGATGGCCATTTTGACGACTTTTTGTTGGAAGAAAATTGAGTATTAATTATAATACATATATTTCATATAGCTTGTTGGACCATATGTATTAGAGTTCAATATATATAAAGTTATATGGGCTTTCTTATATTGTAAGATATCCATGAATTATGGCATAAATTAGCAATCCCTAAAATATAATAGGAAGGTTAGAGTTTTGTTATCAATATAAAAGGACTAGTCCCTATTCTTACAATTACACGCTAAGATATTATCTGCCCTATTGAGATATTAGCATTTGGTATTGCAAAGAATAGAAGACAATTCCAACAGACCTTCATGTCTTCTTCTTCTAATCCAGGTTAGTGTTTTTGATTTATTATTAAGTTTATTGGTTTATTGGTTTATTCTAATGTGATTCATGGTGTTGTTGTAGAAACCAGAACTTAGTTTTGCAGATGTGTACATATATAGGTTACTTAATTGTTGTTGACGATGACATGCCCCAATCCAGATACGAATACGTGACAAGTGTATTAGGATCACCTTCTTCATTTCATTCAAAGTTGACGGTGGATATAAAAAAAACAGTTTTATAATTTTATATAAATAGAATATTAGGATAATTGTCAGTTCACATCTAATAACTTACCCGTTCAGAAATAGTAGTCACAGCGCCAAATATTTTATACAAAATCAATGGAGGCTGGAACGAGTCCACTATCAATGGAGAGTGTATGAATTCATATTAGTGAATTAATGGCTGACCAAATCAGGCTGACCTGATTCTTTTATCAGGATTTGGACCTGACCCAGTCTATTGGGTTTTAACAAATCAATAGAATTGAGTTCAAAACCATGGGCCAAATTTACTTTGTTCGATTTGAAACAAAATAATACAACATTCCATCAACAATTAATTGGTAAACAACTTGAGCTAATATGAATTTCTTGAAATAAAAAACATGCTTTTATTCGTTGGAAGAATAAAAAACACCAGCTAATTAAATTCTCACTCAAGTCAACAAACAATAACCTTATATCACACACAAAATAATAATTCTCCCAACTTCTGGGTGAAACCTCCAATTCTGGTTTATTCTTGTGACAGAGAAAGTACCTCCTTAGCTTAGCTAGCTAGTTAGGCCTCCTACAGTTCAATCTAATCTCACCGTTGGATCCAGTGAGTGGCTTAATATCTCCCATCTTGATCATTGCATTGGCAAAGTCGGAATTGAAGGTATTGGCACTGCCGCTGTACGTTTTAACCAATGAATCTGTGGATCCACCATTGTTGAAGAGAATTTGGTCAGAGTGGAGGAGGCCCTTTTGGTTGATGAGGTTCTTGAAGTAAGCAGTGTCAAAAGTGTCGGGAGTTTGGACGTCCAAAGGTGCAAGGTTGTTGTCTCCTGAGCCAACGGTACTTGGGCATTTGCTTTGCCTGGCCTTGGCAAATGATGCATCAATGTTGGTCTCGTTGTATATGCGATCTCTGAAAGATGTGCACTTTGCTTTCCCGATCGTGTGCGCTCCTGCCATCACGTAACATAGCATGTCAGACTATCTGACAAGATTAACGCTTTTTGTATACAAATGTTTTTATTATTATATATAAATGAGAATAATAGGTCATCGAATGTAACCAAATGAAATATTGACAAATCAATTAAGGGGGTGCTGTCATTGTTACCAGATAGGGCTACCAAGTCCCTTTCATTGAGACCTACAGCTTGGAATCCAGTTTTGAGCTGGCTGAGGGTAGAAGTGGGAGGAGGGAGGGATTTCTTGGCAGCAGCGAGGCTAGCTGTCTTGGAATCCCTTCTTCCAAGTTTAACATTCCAACTTGGTCCTCCAAGCTGCAACAAAATAAAAAGCAAAGTTTCAAAGTGTTAATAGGGTAAATTAATATCCCTAAAAAATATTGGATATTAACTGTTTTGTTTAATTTAGCATAATTAGTATCATGTGTTTTTGTTGTGATGTGTAAAATTAAGTATAAAATTTGTATTGGTTACTCACAATTTTAACGGAGTCTCGAGCAGCAATGGCTAAGATATCAGCACATGAAGCGACGCCGGGACATGTTTTTTCCACTTGGGACTTAATCTTATCCATAACCTCAAATCCCCTAAGAGAGTTATTATTGGGAGCTGCAGTCTTCTCTCCTGTGAAGGAAGAAGCGTCATCCAGCAGTACAGACCCATCACAACCCTGGTTATGATCAATTAAACATTATTAAACACTATAGGATTAGATACTGAGAGAGAGATCGAGCTCGGGCACAAAGAGGTAAACAGACTACCTTAGTGAAGTGACTTAACCCACAACTATTAATAGTTTTTAAGTTACTATTAAACACCAAAATTCAAGAAATATAACGTTGCTAATCATGAAGCTGTAAAGTCAACATGTTTACGATGTTTACTAATTAAACACAAACATAATTTGAATAAAGAAACACTGCGTGCATGCCCTCATGATGTTGAAAGTATTTTACTGCCGTAAAGGGCGCCTTTGGGATTTCATCATCGAAGACTTGGACTTTTGCTATATATGCATGTCTTCAACCTGCGTGCAGCATATTTGAATTTTCGTAGGGAGAACATAGAAAAGTGAGGAGCACCATGTTTTTCTTTTTCATGCAAACAGAAGTTCATTTGTTTTTCATCATCCCTATACATTATTGTAGATGTGACACAATGATTGAACTTTGACAATAGAGGGAGAATTTGAACCCCCCAAAAAAAAGGGAGAAACTTGTTGCTGTAGGGTAGCAAAGAGAGAAGGAAACAAGAAGTCTAATAGGTCGAAAGAGAAGGAGAGAGAAGATATGAGACAACATGAATGGGCAACATATGTGTAGGGTTTGTTTTTAATTTTTGGATGGGCTTATAACACATGTAGGTAATTTTTTTAAAAAAACATTGGGCTGGGCAGGCACCCAGCCTGCCCTGTGCATAGCACCACCCATATTCTTGTACTTAATTATTATGTAACATAGGCAAATTAAACGTGGGTTAAGTCAGTTGGCCAAGACAGTGAGTCCGCCCTCTTGCACCCAGATTCGAGTCCCCCCTTCCTATAGATTGAATTAATGTAAAATAGTTTAAACTATTGCTTATATAAAAAAAATGAATAAGAAATAATTACATTAACAAAGCAGTCATGAAAGTGAAGGCGAAGGAGGGAAGCTCCCATGCGCTTTTCTTTGTTCACAGCAGACTGCACAACAGATTTGACTGCATAAAAAACCTTAGGGCAACTCTTCGAATAGAAATTTGTAGAGAGCTGAGCAGAAGAGCTCCCGGTGAAACCCACAAGAAGGACAATCACCCATATGGAACACAGAGAAGAACTCCTACCAGAAGCCATTGGCAATTTCAAAAGCTGATTAAATTAACAAAGGGTTTAACAAGGGTTTAGGAGTGTGGTTTAGCTTTGGCAGCTTAAGAGAGCCTTTGGTGTATGCATGGAGATTAAAAGGGTTTATATTTATAGAGGAAGAAATGAGGGGAGGGGGAGTTTAGCGCTGGCATGGTTACCTAATCTGAAAGACTAAGACCAAGTATAAGCAGTGCATGGCATGGGATTTCTACGTCTAGAATTTAATTAAATGCATTATTAATAATAATTAATTAGCCAACTGTAAGGATTGAAAATGATAGACCAAGTAAACACCAAAACACGTTTAGTGAAATGAACCATGCAAATAATTGAACAATTCCAACCACACAGAAAATAATTGGAGGGCTTGGTGTTCGTAAGCTTAGATCGAAGGTTAATAATGTTAAATTTATCGAGCCTAAGAGTGTGGGAAGACCCTAATTTTTCTTTTCAAATCATTATAAAATCTTGAGTGAGGGTGATTTTCATGTTTAAAAGATAAATAGAGCTAGTAGAGTGAGAAAGTAACTAGGATTCCTCATATTCATATTAGGTCATCAATTATAATACAAAGAGATGTCAATGGGGATTCAAACTTGAGACTTTTGGTCTGCAAAATCAAGATCATTTTTCAACCTTATCTCTCTATATACTGAAACTATAAAAAATAAAATAAAAACACTTTTTTGAACGAGATACAACCACTAGAGACTAGAAACTAGAAACGGCCAAAAAAGAGGAAGACACCAAAAGACAAGTACCAACAAAAAAAAGAAACTTCAAACCAAAGGCAAAGCTTTGATAAGATTAAAGTAAATTGCAAAGACTTATCTAGCTTCATGCAGGCACGTAAAACCAAAATAAATAAAGAAAAACAGTTCTCTTCGAGAAAATAAAATAAAAAAGGGAGTTTCACTAAAACACCCAAAATGGAGGTTGAAATTATAAAAAAACTCAACACCCAAAACACTTTATAAACACACCCAAAACCCATCATTACACACACTCAAAACCCATTTATAAACACACCCAAAAAGTTGACTTTGGGGTTGATTTTGGGTGTGTTTCTATGTTTAAATAGTGTTTGAGTTTTTTTATAAATACATGTCTAGGATTGAGTTTATTTATAAATTGCTAAATAAAAAAAGAGTCTGTGACGGTGTATTTTTGGCAGGTCGTCCGTAGGTGAGTTTTATACCTAGTGGACCCATATGCGTGTGGTTAGACCTTAGCTAGCAGATTCATGATGTGACTCGCATTTATTTCTATTGACTTCCAATTTCTGTTCGAAAGCAAATTAAGGGACTAAATTCAAAGTTAGGCTCCATGCAAATTATGAAAATCCTATAAATGCAGTTTTATTATTGGGATTTCTTTCATTGCCATAAATGTAATGTAGAGTTGTTGGACCACTTTTTATAGCGAGGAATTCGTCAAGTATAACATCATTTGGTATTAGTTTATGTATTTTTAGAATTTATCAATTGAAAGTTTGTGATAACGAAAGTAATATTTGCAGAGAAAGTTAAAGAGAGAACACATAGATTTTTAAGAGATTTTTACTGTTTGTATTTTCTTAATGAACAATTACCGTACACACAAGAGCTTTATACAATTGCTTAACAATTCCTAACTGACCACAAGAACATAGAGATTTCTAAGAGATCTTGTGTGTACGGTAATTGTACATTAAGAAAATACAAACAGTAAAGATCTCTTAGAAATCTCTGTGTTCTCTTAGAAATCTCTGTGTTCTCTCTCTAGCTTTCTTCCTCCTTATCTTTCTCTACAAATATCACTTTCGTTATCAGTTTGGAGGGATAAATACTCGTTTCAGGCTTGTATGTGACTCCATCAATTAATACACTAGCGGACCGTTTCAGACTAGTAGCGGTGTCATATTTCGGGATGTGACTCCACCCATAAATACACTAGTGGTGTCACATTTCGGCTTGAAATGGTCATGGCTCTACAGATACATAGAGAAATGTGTTTATATATATCCATACCGACAGTATATAATACTAGTTCAATTAATGTGATTTTCTTATGTACTACTATATTAGAGATACTAGACGCCCGTCTTTGAGATTAAAGAGACAAGAGGGATTACGTCTTCCAACAAAAAGGTTGGAGATAAAAAAAAAATTCTTTTATTTTTATGAGAGAGAAAATAAAATTAATGATTGTCTATTTAAAAAATTAAAACTACTTGCCAAGTAATATTTAATCTCAACCATTGAAAGTTGAGTAATCTAATGGCCCAAAAATTGTGTCAAAAACATAGTGCCACATATCCGTCCCCTATTTTAATATATCTATTTTCCGTAGCACTTTATTTATTTATTTTTTGGCAAGAAAGTCTGAATACAACTTTTGTGGATGCCAATTGTTGGTGAATGGAAATAAATATAAAATTTAATTGGGGTGTAAATTGATTTGCAAATATTTGGAGTATTATTCGAGAATTAATCCTACAATATTCTTAATTTTTTTAAAACTTTTTTTTTTAATAGTAAATATTTTATAATATCTTGTTTCTACGCATCTATTTTAATACAATGATATATATGTCCAATAATGCATTCTTATACAGTAATTAATCAAACCTTAAACCTTAAAATTTTGATAAGTTAAACCATCTTAATCTCTCTCTATTCGTTCAAAGTCGACCGACTTTCTATTCTCTGTCTTTTTCAATTATTTATTTAAGAGGAATTCAAGTTGAATGAGTTAGTGATTCAGATTTTGCCAAAGAGCAAGGCTTGACTTCTTAAAATTAAGGAGGAGCTTCTGCTAAAATATGAATATGGTTTGAATACTTTGGGTTCACTTTATTCTTCTCCATAAGGAGGTATATATAAGAGTTTACAGGGTGCTATACAAGGAATTAGATACAGTAAAGAATTATGAAAATATCTCCTAATTAAATAATGATTTATCAACTTTATAAAAATAGGAAAGTAAATCCCTTAATTAATCAATGAAGTAAATCTCATTGATTAATTAGGAGACTCACGTCAACACTCCTCCTCAAGTTGGTGCATATATGTCCAATGCCCAACTTGGTAAGTGAGTCATAAAATACTCTTCCACAAACAGCTTTGGTTAATATATCTGCCAACTGATCTTTTGATTTTACGAATGGTAGGCGGATGATCTTCTTCTCAAGTTTTTCTTTGATTTAAAATGTCTATCCACCTCAACATGTTTAATTCGATCATGTTGAACTGGATTATGGGCAATATCGATGGCTGACTCGTTATCACAATGTAACTCTATTGGCTTTTCTTGCTTGAACCCCAATTCTGTTAATAATCTTCTGATCCATAGTAATTCACAAACTCCGTGAGCAATTCCTCGATACTCTGCTTCAGCACTCGACCGAGAAACCACATTTTGTTTCTTACTCCGCCAAGTGACTAGATTACCTCCCACAAAAGTAAAGTAAGCTGAAGTAGAGCGTCTGTCAGTAACGGAGCCAGCCCAATCAACATGTGTATATCCAACAACTTCGAGATCTTTATTTTTTGAGAACATTAATCGTTTTCTAGGTGTTGATTTTAAGTATCTTTAGATTCGATCAACTGCATTCCTGTGGGACACACTGGGTGAATGCATAAACTGACTAACCACACTCACAGCATATGCAATGTCTGACCATGTGTGAGTTAGATATATCAACCTTCCAACAAGGCGTTGGTACTGTTCCTTGTTGGTTGATTCTTGATCCATGTCTTCACATAACTTATGATTCATCTCCATGGGTGTATCAACAGGTTTGCATCCAAGCATTCCTTTTTCAGTGAACAGATCTAATACATACTTCCTTTGAGACAGAAATATACCACTTGTGGACCTGGCTACTTCAATTCCTAGAAAGTACTTCAGATCACCTAAATCCTTCATCTCAAATTCCTGAGACAAATACTTCTGTAGTTTCAGTTGCTCTCCTGTGTTGTTTCCAGTTACGACTATGTCATCCATATAAACAATCAATGCAGTAAGTCTTCTTCCATCACGCTTTAAGAACAAAATGTGATATGCATTACTCTGTATATATCCAAAATTCATCATGGATTTAGTGAATCTGCCAAACCATGCCCTGGGGGATTGCTTTAACCCATACAATGACTTTCTGAGCTTGCAAACTTGATTTTCCTTGTCACGAGCTAAGCTACATCTTGGTGGCAAATCCATATATACTTCTTCTTCCAAGTCTCCATGTAAGAAAGCATTTTTTACATCAAACTGATGTAATGGCCAATTTAGATTTGCTGCTAGAGACAGAAGGACTCTGATAGTTTTAATCTTGGCTACTGGGGCAAAGGTCTATTGGTAGTCTATCCCATATCTTTACTTGTACCCCTTCGCCACGAATCTAGCTTTATATCTTTCAATGGATCTATCTGCTTTGAGTTTCACAGTATAAATCCACCTACATCCCACTGTCTTATTTCCATGAGGTAATGACATGAGTTCTTATTTGCCATTCTTCTAGAGAGCTCACATTTCTTCATTTATGGCTTCTTTCCATTTTGAGTCTTCTAGTGCTTCAGTGACACTGTTGGGAATCGGTATGTCTGCCAACTGCTTTACAAAGTGCACCCGTGACGCTGATGGATACATAATTGTTGATGAGATATTTCCATTTTGCATTAAGATCTGCTTCATAGTGAACTGGAGGTTTTCCACGGTTCTTCCGTTTTGGAATCTGATATGTAGGCTCTGTGCCTTCTGAAATTAAATCATCATGAGATATTTCATTAATATTATTAGTTTGAGGAAAAGATGTTACCTGAATGACGTTCTCAACAGGTGATTGATGTGGTACTGAAGATGAAGAATTCTCATGAGCAGGCAAAAACTCTTTAATGTTCTCATCCTGAGTTTGAGAGCAGGGAGACGACTAGTCACGGTCCTCTGGCGACTGGTCGTTTTGAAGCATATTCGGATTTTGGGGGCCACCAGTCGATTTCAACCAACGACCGGTCGCTTTCAAGCAGAGTCTCGGGCGACCGGTCACTTGCTTCCTGCAATCGATCGTTTTCAGGCGAAGGCTCCGGCAACCGGTCGCTTGCAGTATGCAACCGTTCGTTTTCAGTATGGGAAAATTCTAAAGGAAAAAGTCTTGAAATTTGAGAAGTGTTTGTACGGTTGAAAAATATATATCGTGTTCCCGAAACACAACATCCATAGAAGTATACACCTTCTGACTAGGAGGATGATAACACTGGTAACCTTTCTGATGAGGTGCGTAACCAATAAAAACACATTTTTCGGCGCGGGATCCAATTTGCTCGGTTGGTGATCATGTAAGTGGAAAAGCCCACGCAGCCAAAATCCGTGGTTCTAGGTTTTTGGGAGGAGGTATTTGGATATGGTGGTAGAGTGTTTGAAGGGGGTTTTGGAAATTGAGGATACTGGAGGGAATCCGATTGATAAGGTATGCTGTAGAGAGGACGCCTTCTCCCCAAAAAGACCGAGGCATATTGGCACCAAAGAGAGAGGCACGAACCACTTCCAATAAGTGTATATTCCTTCGTTCAGCCACACCATTCTGTTGGGGAGTGTAAGGTTGTAAGAACTGATTAAGATCATGGTTGAAAATTCTCTGCCATTGTCAGACCGAAGAACCTGAATTCGGGTATGAAATTGTGTCTCCACCATTTGATAAAACTGTTGAAACTTGGAACTGACTTCCCCTTTTGTTTGGATAAGGGAAACCCATGTCATACATGTGCAATCATCGATAAACGTGACAAACCATCTAGCTTCCCTTGGAGTGGTAATTTTAGCCAGGCCCCAAACATCAGAATGAACAAGAGAAAAGGGAACCAAACTTTTATGGCAACTTAAGGGAAAAAGAACACGATGGCTCTTGGCTAGTTCACAGATGTCACATGCAAAACTGGATAGATCTAACTGGGAACATAAGGAAGGAAATAGCTTCCGTAAATATCCAAACGAAGCATCTCCAAGACGGCAATGCCATAACCATACTTCGGAAGTTTGCTTCTCAATACTCGTACCCCTAATTTTGTAAGTGTGACTGAGTCTAGCTTCACTGTCAGATGCCAAGTCCAGATAATAGAATTTGCCCCTCCTAGTACCACAACCAATCGTCTTGCTGCTGAGAATGTCCTAAAAAACACAATGAGTAGGCCAAAAGGTTACAGTGCAATTCAAAGCCGTAGTAATTTGGGCAACAGACAAGAGATTATGATGAAAGGATGGAACAATCAATACAGAATCCAAAGTGAGGGAGTCAGAGAGAGAGAGGGAACCCTCCCCAATTACTGGAGAGGGGGTACCATTGGCATTAGACAACACTGATTGAGAAGACAGTGTATGAGAGGTAATTTGTCTTGGATCAAAGGTCATGTGATTAGTGGCTCCGGTGTCAATGACTCAGATGTGTTTCTTTGAAGAACTATGCAAAACATAACAGTGGGAACCTGTTGTGGCAATTTTGGAGGATGGGGAAGTGGAGGCAGTGGTTTGGAAAGATGAGACGATATTCATGGCAGCTAAAGGATTTAAGAATAGGAGGAAAATGATGTGTTTAGGGTTTTGTGATAAGAGAAAAAATTTGTGTTTAGGATTTCGTGATAAGAGGATATGAGGATTTGGGTATGAAGATCTGAATCTGAAGCTGTAAATATGAGGAATTTGATTTAGGGTTCGGGTGTGAAGAAATGTGATATGAGGATGTAGGGTTTGTGTTTGAAGAAATTTGATATGAGGATTTAGGGTTTGTGTTTGAAGAAAAAATTTGATATGAGAATTTAGAGACAACCGAGGATCGATTGCTCTGATACCATGCTAAAATATGAATATGATTTGAATACTTTGGGTTCACTTTAGTCTTCTCCATAAGGAGGTATATATAAGAGTTTACATGGTGCTATACAAGGAATTAGATACAGTAAAGAATTAGGAAAATATCTCCTAATTAAGCAATGATTTATCAACTTTATAAAAATAGGAAAGTAAATCCCTTAATTAGTCAAGGAAGTAAATCTCCTTGATTAATTAGGAGACTCACGTCAACAGCTTCTCCTTAAAATCACTTGTTGTATTCTAACAAAATTGACAAAGTTTCATCAAAAAAGAAAAAAGAAAACTAAAAAAAATGTACACGTCAAAATCACATTGGTTGTAATTTCATCAAAAGATTTGTTTGGAAGGTTAAATAGTGATATGCTGCTGAAATAAGTAGCAAAAAGGAAAGAGAATAGTTCTATCTCATTTGAAACGTGTGATGCAAAACATGCAGTACGTTGAAAGTTTTTCAGAGATGGTTATTGTTAATTAGTTGCTATGATTGACTGTTTGTCATTTCCGCCATGAGAATCACTGACTATATAGAGCTGGTTGGGTGCACTGGATTGATATGACTCCTTTCCGTCATTGAACGATATCATTAAAATTAAACGTTAGGGCTAGGCGCCGTCCGGTTCGGTCCGGTTTAGAGCTTAACTCGAAACTAGAACCAATACTATTCATCCGATCCGGTCCCTTTTTTTTTTTTTTTTTTTTTTTTTTTTTTAAAAAGAAAAACTAGATCAAGCCGAACTGTCTGATCCTATCCGATTTTCCGATTTGAACTGGTTTGGGCCGGTTTACTTTGTTTCTTTGTGGGCTTTAGTAGCATATAAGACCCTATTCACATTCCTATAAAAATTTGGCCTAAAATAATTTCTACATGCCATCTTAACTTCCAAATACAAAACATGGTCATCCAATCCAAACATACAATCTTAAGAATTATATCTCAATGGAAAAATTGATAACTGAATTACAAACCAAATTAGAAATTTGAAACATAAGCCAAAAATTAAAACATAACACCAATGAAGGCTTCACATATTAAATTATCATTGGAACGAAGGACTTGAGTTGGTAGGTGCCGGTAAAATTGTAAGATCTACAAATAAAAACACACACATTAAAACATTAGGCAAACATGCAACTATATATATGTATATATATATATATTGATAATATACATCATTAAATCACATCAAACTAAAAACAAATACATGACTCAATGGATTCAACATAGCAGCATTAATAAACTGATAAACCCATCCAATTAATGCAATTAATTATTTATCAATACTACTATTAAACTGCTTACCTATGGCTTATGAGGAGGTGAACTGCTGCTGCTGCTCTTGCTGTTGCTACTGCTTCTTCTCCTCAAAGATCTGCATAAAACACCCGCCACCATCAGAACAAGCTAAAGCCAAGTACCAGATCTTTTAAAAACCAAACAACCCACCACTCCCATAGAAACATGAGAATTTTTTAAAGTTAAAAAACAAGTAGTAAGCACAAATTTCGTAGATAAACATGTATCCAATGAAACTATAGAAAAATGCTCAGACGTAAACATATTACGAATAAGACATTTATAGGCATTCATGACAAATAAAATACAATAAAGATGAAAGGACATAGGCAAATACAAGCAAATTTATATGGCGGTGAGATCCTGAAATAGATTCGAACGAACATGGAGTGAAACTCATTCAGATCAAAACTTTAAAAAGAAATTGCTAAAAATCATTACCTTCTTGGACTACGAGATATCTTTCGGGGTACCTGTAAGATTGCAAGAATTAAGCCTCCAGAGTAATAACAAACATATAACAGGAAATTAATGAGGGAAAGTCAGTAATTTTAAAAACTAAACAAGATATCAAGCATATTCTATTCCTTCAAAATAACATGACAGACTAAGAACTTTTAAAGGTATTTTGGCATAAATGAAAAACATTACCTCATCTAAAAAGGGACAAAAAATAGTACATGATAGAGAATTATCAAAACATATGTAGTAAACAATACACATTGAGATCCCAGGAGTTTAAATGGATGCATAAGTCAGGCTTTAACATTAAAACTCAGGAATAAGATGAGCGCCTTGAACGCGCTTGCTGTTGTGGTGTAGGCTGATGACAAGTTGGATAAAAAACCTTTAGAAGAACCCATAAACAAGCATGATCCAGATGAAAGATACCAGTGACTTGTAACCATGGTCTAAAATATCAATGATATCGAAAATATCGGTAGTCCAAAAACATGGAAATTTCTATGGAAATATCGGGATATTATCGATATCGATAAAAATTGAATAAAAACCACAGAAATTGTAAGAAAAACTTGGAAATTTTATTGAAACTTTAGATTGTTTATTTAGTCAATTATATATTAGTTTATAAAAAAAATTAGAAGGAAATGCATTACATGATGGATTTAACTGATTTAAGTTGATTATACAGCGAGCTGGCAAACACTGTGAGTGTAGAAAATATGTAGTAATTAATGAAAAAAAGATTAAACACACCATAATCATTTATATATAATGATTTACTACAATATTTTACACTTTATACATTGCATGTAAGATACATGAGTGACTTAGTACCACATTGAATTCCTATGAGGTTCAAAATTTTCAATATATTCATCATCTCTATGTGTAGAGTAAGTGTATTGTGAAGAGTATTTATCAAATGATAAATCCCCAAAATTGTTTTGCATGTAATTGTTAACATGTCACCCATATAAATATAAATATTTTAGCATATTATCACTAAAACATAAGTGATATATGGTGGTTAAGGTGTTGGAGGAGTAAAATGGGAGGGGTTCAAACCCCCCTTTGTGTTTTTTTTTCCTCTCCTTTTTTTTTTTTTTTTTTTTTTTTTTACATCGATATTTATTTTAGCGATATTAATCGATATTTGATAAAATATTGCTGAAGTGTGAGCGAAATTATCGACATCGATATTTTCCAATATTATCGTCGATATTGTCGATATTTATACGATATGCACATGGATATGTTCCGAAATATCAGTGATTCGAAAAAACCAAAATATCCTCGATATTTCATCGATATTATCGATATTTCAGACTATACTTGTAACTAGGCAGTTGAGTTCTTTGATTTACAAATTACAACACAAATTTAATAGCTTTGATCAATGAATGTCTATAAAGATTGTTCAAGTAGGCAAGACTAATAGAACTGAAAGTGAAGGTGTGGATTGTTTACCGGATCTACCCGATCAAAAATCCAATAGGGAGAAGAAAAAAAAACCGAAACGGAGTGATCCATGTACAACAGACTCTTGATTTTTAATCAACCACCTCAAGTTCAAAACTTCATCTTTTCATCAACATTTACAGTTAAACTAAGCATATACATATTCATTCATGATCATATCTTCATAGAGAGAGAGAGAGAGAGAGAGAGAGAGAGAGAGAGTTACAACTACTTACTGCTACAGAACTGAAATTTGAGGCTCTTTGAGCTCTTGGGCAATATAAATACATATATATAGAGACAGACTTGGGCGATATCTTGGAGAGTTACTTGAGCTGTGCGATAGCGGCGAGATTTGCATATGAGAGAATAGAAGGAGAGAGAGAGAGAGAGAAAGAGAAACAGGGACTGAGGGAAAACCTAATTCGCGTAAACTAAAAGGGGTTTGTTTCTGTTTAATCAGATATGGCCAATTCTATTCTAACAAAATAGAACTGGCCTAATAAATAATATTTTTATATTTTATATTATATAATATATATTAAATACTGGACCGGTCCGGTTTTGTCTTATGTAAAACCGGAACCAGAACTGGTTTAAACTGGTTCGGTCTGGTTCGGTCCAATTGTGTTGATTTTTTTAGTCAACTCAGTTTTTTTCCCCGATTTTTCGGGTCATATGCCCGCCCCTAGTAAACGTGTATCAAACATGTTCAAAAAAATGAATTGAGATTTTACAAGCAAACATGGCAGTTCTTTGCGTCATTTTCTTTTTCGGGTCAATATAGACTAGAGCTTGTTTTGATGTTGTAGCTACCCAATGAATTAGCTACCAAGCACTATATTGATAAAAAAAAATAAAAGTAAAGCAAATATATATATATATATACTTAAATTTAATGCTGCCCTTTCCTAATCGTATTTATCATACCTTATTGACCTTCAACTAATAACAAACAACAGAGGCAAGTGCAATTTGCGCCTCAACCCAACCCAAAACAATGGGCTTCAATTAGTACTTTCTATTTTCTTAGCCCATGATAATGTTGGGCTGGCCTAAACCCTACCAAAAATTTCAAGGTTCTTTTTACAAAAGCGCTTCTAACAAAATCGTTTTTGAGCAAAAGTACGTCATGCAACTAACCCTTAACAAACAAATTAGGGGTTAAAGGCCCAATTTGGGATTGCTGTCACTTTTTAAAAAAGTTGATTTTGCTGTGCTTTGAAAATAATTAGCTGTAAAATAAAGCAACTCCATGTTTGGTAAACAATATTTTTAAAGTGTTATTAGTATAAAAAGCAGTGTCAAAACCGTTTGGTAAAGTTTAATATAAAATTGTTATAACTGTGAATAATGACTAAAATAGACATGATGTTAAAAATGTTATGTACTAATCATGTGGTGGTAGTGGTAGTGATGGAGTAGAGATGGTGGTGGTGATGAAGGTGGAGTTGGCGGTTGTGGTAGTGGTGGAGGTGAGGATGATGGTTGTGGAGGTCGTGGTGGTGGTAGTAGTGGCAGCATGGTGGTGGTAGTGGTAGCATGGTGGTGGTGGTGGTGTTGGTTGTGGAGGTGGTCGTGGATGTGTGGAGGTTTTGGAGGAGGAGGTGGTTGTGGTGGTAGTGCTGGTGGTGGTGGAGGAGGTGGTGGTTGTCGTGGTGGTGGCGGAGGATGAGGAGAAGGATGTGGTGGTGGTGGTGGTACTGATGGCAGTGGCTGTGGTTGTGGAGGTGGTGGAGGTGGAGGTGGAGGAGGTGGTGGTGGTGGTAGTGATGGCAATGATGGTGGTGGTAGTGGTGGCAATGACGGTGGCTGTGGAGGTAGTGAATGTGGTGGTGCAAATGGTGGGGTTGGATGTGGAAGTGGAGGTGGTGTCATTTCTTAAAATGAATGCTAGTATTTTGGAAATTAAAAAAATTCATTAAAGGTTTATCTTTGCTTATTTTGAAAGCATCTTTAAAAAGCAACCCAGAGCTTGCTTTTAAAAGTTGCTGTCAAAAGGCCACTGTTTTTAAAATAATCGGGATTTTTTATTTTTACCAAACACCTTAAACTGCTTAACTTTAAAGTGAAGCAGGCGATTGTTGAAATTGGATTAGTGAGAAATTAATTGAGTGATTAAGAGTAATGAGAGGCGATTGGTTGTATCAGAGAAGGCGAAGAAGGACGAGATTAAGAAGGCGGCGCGCGCGGCGGAGCTGATGGTGGACGCAATGAACGGCAGCATTCAAGAGTCGTTTGTGAACGAGAAGCTAATTGAGTATGAAATTAGGGCCTTGACCGCCACCATCACACCCTTCACCAAACAGACCGATCAATGGCTCTCTGTCACTCATTCAATGAACTCCGCCATTAAGGTGGATAGAATTTCAATTATGCATTTTCGGTGATTTTCAGTTTTTCTTTTGTAAATTTAATTAATGTTGGTTTTTAAAGATGGGGTTTTTCTTCTTTGTGCGGCAGGAAATTAGAGATTTTGAGAACTGGATGAAGATCATGGAGTTTGATTGTAAGAGTATCACTGCAGCTATTCACAACATTCACCAAGCATGATCAAGCAGCAAGGTGTTAGTCTTCACCAATTTCCATGTAATTTCTAATTATCTTCTCTATAATTTGTAAAGCATCTCAATTATAGAATAATAAACCTTGCTTCTTTTTGTCCCATATGGTATTTCTCTTTTCACAATGTGCAAATCTGCTTGAAAACTAGCTGAATTTAGTAGGATTTATTAGGGAAATTAGGACAAGGCTGCCAACACGGCTGTTATATTGTATCAACGACTGATAGTCACTCAGGCAGGTGCCGGGTGAACTGTCCCTAGCATCCCTCTTTGTGAATGAGAGGGAGGCAAGTATATATATACCTTGTTTTACTTTGGTCACAATTGACATTGTAATGGCCTTTCCAAAATTTAACTAGAAATCAAATGAGAATTGTATTTTGAAGAGGTCACATGAAGAGATGAAGAAGGAAAATGTCAAATGCAAAACGGAGCAACTTGTATCAGAAAACAGAAAACTCAGGTTGGCTTTTGGCTGACTCTGAGTTGAGTGTCAACATCTTAGGGATTAGGGTTAGGGTGGACTAACCAATAGCACAAGTTGCTTACATCAGCTAATTCTGAAAAGGGTTTAATTAGATGAGATTTGTATTATAATCTAGTACTAATCCTCTTTTTCACCGTTGACTTCCCAGTAAGACTTGGTCTGAACGGTGATTGTTAACCTGGATTTCATTGAAAATTAATCTTAAGAATAGAGTCGGCCACCTAACCATTTACTTGTTTTCTACTTCAGTGCTGCAACTTGGTTATGGTCGTGGAGAGAACTATCATTTTTTTTGCAGATTGTGTGCTGGAGGAACGACTTTGGGTTCTGCATTTATCTTACTTACCCCAAAACAGACACCAAAGTCTTTGTAAGCAGCTGTGTTTTGTTAATGTAAAAACAGAAAACTATAATCAAATAGAGATAAAAACAAACACCAACGTGGGTTTAAGCATCTGTGTTTAAAATTAAGCAGGGGGTTTCCCGATCGCAATGCCTTGCAACGCAAGACATGAACGGTGGATATTAAAATGGTTTCATAATTAAAGAGATGACACGGATTAGGGTGGTAAGCAAAGCTGCTTTAGCATTTTGAAAAGAAAAATTAAAGTCAATACAGTTGGCTTATATATAACATACTCTGCTAATTAATTAATTGAGGGTTCGGCAAACTTTAGAAAGGAACTTGCCATATGTCAAATGAAAAATACATAGCGTTACATCAGACAATGCGAATTTGACAATATCAAACAAGTACCAGGTACCACCTCAACAAAGATATCAAACATTTGGGGAAAAAAAACTTGGACGACAAGAAGTATGCCATGTCTTGCAATATAATGTCAAAGAAAATCTTTATTATTAAATAAGATAGTTCATTTTTTGGGTACATAACAACATAACAGATTACACTTAGCCATGATCATGAACATCAAATCATGTCAATGGACTTCAAAAACTTTAATTGTTACAGAATAGGCCAACAAATGTATATCAAGTTAACACCGTTTCTCACACGCAGTTTCTTTCTACGCATGGAATGACCAAAAATAAAATATACAAACTAGAGAGAAACATATAGGTGCAAACCAAACCCGTGCACCTCGCACACCAACCGAAAAGTGAGGAAAGAAAACTGGAGGATTCGTACCCTAAACCTCCTCCAAACCAAGCTCCGGCACATGTTGGACAATCACTTAATCCTAAAAGCTTAAACTTTTAGGAAATGGTCACAATGTCTATCAAGCATATAGAATTGAAAATTCGATTCTAATTGATTTTCCGGCAGTTGAGTCTTACTTCTCCATTATTCCCAGTGAGAGGCTTGATGTTGCCCATGTTGATCATAGAATTTGCAAAGTCTTCAAAAGATTCCGAGTTCCTGCTGTACTTCAGCACCAGCTTATCACTATCTGTACCATTATTTTTATAGAGCTCTTTATCAGAATGGAGGAGACCCTTTTGTTGTAACAAAGCCTTAAAGTAGACGTTATCGAATCGCCTTGTAGTTGAATCTAGTGGCCTTGTGTTGTTATCTCCTCTAGTTGTTGGACAATTGTATTTTGCAGAGGCTGCAAACTTGGGGTCTATGTTGGTATCATTGTAAATCCTGGCACGGAAGGTTGTACACCGAGCAAGTCCAATGGTGTGGGCAGCTGAGAGCACAACCAAGTCTTTCGGGTTAAGTCCATGAGCTTGGAAGTTAGAGAGAAGCTGAATAATGGGGGTGGAAGATTTCTGTTTGCATCATTCACGCTTGCATTTCTTGCATCCCTTCTTCCTAATTGTACTTTGTAATCAGGGCCTCTTAACTAAAACACAAACACAAAATTTCATTAATAAAAACATTTCATACGTCTTAAGAAAATGAGTACTGTTAGCGTCACCAAATTTGTCCGCCAAATGAATATTAGGGTTTAGTATGAAAATGGAACGTATACTGGGACAATATTTGGTGAATACATTTGATGAACCTAGCAATATTAGCAAACATGTATATACTCACAATGGATACAGAATCACGAGCTGCAACGTTGAATCCCCGGATCGAATTCAGATTTGGGAAGGCGGTCTTCTCACCGATGAAGTTGGTAGTATCATCAAGCAGCACTGATCCATCGCAACCCTGTATCAATTCAACCATGAACACATATCAGGAAAAAAAAAAATTTAGAACTGATCATTTACATTAACAACTATTTCAAGTGCACTATATGCATGCACAAATATGTTGCACCGATACGGATACGGGTACGGCGATACGATACGATACGTCGATACGGAAAATCTCTAAAAATAGGGTACGGGTACGGCACCGATACGGAGATTAAAATAATATAAATATAAATATTATAAAAATATAAACATATATATGTAAAATTATATATATATATATATTTATGTAAAATTAGCATTTGGGCTTTTTTTTCTAGTTCCTTATGTTTTTCTAGGGCATATATGACTTGTTTCAGTTCTTGGGTTTGGCCCAAATGAATGCATCAGAATTAAAAAGTATAAAACAATTTTTTTAACAAAGGCCACCAAATATGCAACTAAAACGGTGCGTATTGTAATTGGGGCACCCAACATCATCTTCTTCACTAGTTAGCCGCCTCTTCTTTGCACATCAATTGTTTGCAACTGCAGATTAGCAGCAGCTACAAGCGCAAGTAAGTTCTTTTCTTCTTCATTCTTCCTTCTTCCTTCTTCTTCTTCTTCTTCTCTTTTAGTTGCTGTCGGGTCAGTATCGCAAGCGTATCGTGATCATATCAATGGAATATCGGAGCCGTATCATAAAGTCAACATCCTAGAAATGTCTACGATACGCCACATGGCATATCGGATATGTATCGATGCCGTATCGGTGCCATATCGTATCGGCGTCGTATCAGATACGAGCATACCCCAAAAATCCGGCGTATCGGTGCAACATAGATGCACAATCAATATAAGCTTAATTACATTAACAAAACAATCCTGGAAATGAAGGCGAAGTAGAGAGGCTCCGATGCGTGGCTCCTGGCTGATGGCCCGTTTGACGACTTTTTATTGGAAGAAAATTGAGTATTAATTATAATACATATATTTCACATAACTTGTTGGACCATATGTATTAGAGTCCAATATATATAAAGCTATATGGGCTTTCTTATATTGTAAGATATCCATGAATTATGGCATAAATTAGCAATCCCTAAAATATAATAGGAATGTTAGAGTTTTGTTATCAATATAAAAGGACTAGTCCCTATTCTTACAATTACATGCTAAGATATTATCTGCCATATTGAGATATTAGCATTTAGTATTGCAAAGAATAGAAGACGGTTCCAACAGACCTTCATGTCTTCTTCTTCTAATCCAGGTTAGCGTTTTTGATTTGTTATTAAATTTATTGGTTTATTGGTTTATTCTAATGTGATTCATGGTATTGTTGTTCTATTGATTTCTTTTCATGAAATATTTAACACTTTTCTAGTGGCTATGCCTGAGGGCACACTTTGTTGTAGAAACCAAAACTTAGTTTTGCAGATGTGTACATATATAGGTTACTTAATTGTTGTTGACGATGACATGCCCCAATCCAGATACGAATACGTGACAAGTGTATTAGGATCACCTACTTCATTTCATTCAAAGTTGACGGTGGATATAAAAAAAACAGTTTTATAATTTTATATAAATAGAATATTAGGATAATTGTTAGTTCACATCTAATAACTTACCCGTTCAGAAATAGTAGTCACAGCGCCAAATATTTTATACAAAATCAATGGAGGCTGGAACGAGTCCACTATCAATGGAGAGTATGAATTCATATTAGTGAATTAATGGCTGACCAAATCAGGCTGACCTAATTCTTTTATCAGGATTTGGACCTGACCCAGTCTATTGAGTTCAAAACCAATAGGCCAAATTTACTTTGTTCGATTTGAAACAAAATAATACAACATTCCATCAACAATTAATTGGTAAACAACTTGAGCTAATATGAATTTCTTGAAATAAAAAACATGCTTTTATTCGTTGGAAGAATAAAAAAACACCAGCTAATTAAATTCTCCCTCAAGTCAACAAACAATAACCTTATATCACACACAAAATAATAATTCTCCCAACTTCTGTGTGAAACCTCCAGTTCTGGTTTATTCTTGTGACAGAGAAAGTACCTCCTTAGCTTAGCTAGCTAGTTAGGCCTCCTACAGTTCAATCTAATCTCACCGTTGGATCCAGTGAGTGGCTTATTATCTCCCATCTTGATCATTGCCTTGGCAAAGTCAGAATTGAAGGTATGGGCACTGCCGCTGTACTTTTTAACCAATGAATTTGTGGATCCACCATTGCTGTAGAGAATTTGGTCAGAGTGGAGGAGGCCCTTTTGGTTGATGAGGTTCTTGAAGTAAGCAGTGTCAAAAGTGTGGGGAGTTTGGACGTCTAAAGGTGCAAGGTTGTTGTCTCCTGCGGTCCTTGGGCATTTTCTTTGCCTGGCCTTGGCAAATGATGCATCAATGTTGGTCTCGTTGTATATGCGATCTCTGAAAGATGTGCACTTTGCTTTTCCGATCGTGTGCGCTCCTGCCATCACGTAACATAGCATGTCAGACTATCTGACAAGATTAACGCTTTTTGTATACAAATGTTTTTATTATTATATATAAATGAGAATCATAGGTCATCGAATGTAACCAAATGAAATATTGACAAATCAATTAAGGGGGTGCTGTCATTGTTACCAGATAGGGCTACCAAGTCCCTTTCATTGAGACCTACAGCTTGGAATCCAGTTTTGAGCTGGCTGAGGGTAGAAGTGGGAGCAGGGAGGGATTTGTTGGCCGCAGCGAAGCTAGCTGTCTTGGAATCCCTTCTTCCAAGTTTAACATTCCAACTTGGTCCTCCAAGCTGCAACAAAATAAAAAGCAAAGTTTCAAAGTGTTAATAGGATAAATTAATATCCCTAAAAAATATTGGATATTAACTGTTTTGTTTAATTTAGCATAATTAGTATCATGTGTTTTTGTTGTGATGTGTAAAATTAAGTATAAAATTTGTATTGGGTACTCACAATTTTAACGGAGTCTCGAGCAGCAATGGCTAAGATATCAGCACATGAAGCGACGCCGGGACATTTTTTTTCCACTTTGGACTTAATCTTATCCACAACCTTAAATCCCCTAAGAGAGTTATTATTGGGAGGTGCAGTCTTCTCTCCTATGAAGGAAGAAGTGTCATCTAGCAGTACAGACCCATCACAACCCTGGTTATGATCAATTAAACATTATTAAACACTATAGGATTAGATACTGAGAGAGAGATCGAGCTCGGGCACAAAGAGGTAAACAGACTACCTTAGTGAAGTGACTTAACCCACAACTATTAATAGTTTTTAAGTTACTATTAAACACCAAAATTCAAGAAATATAACGTTGCTAATCATGAAGCTGTAAAGTCAACATGTTTACGATGTTTACTAATTAAACATAAACATAATTTGAATAAAGAAACACTGCGTGCATGCCCTCATGATGTTGAAAGTATTTTACTGCCGTAAAGGGCGCCTTTGGGATTTCATCATCGAAGACTTGGACTTTTGCTATATATGCATGTCTTCAACCTGCGTGCAGCATATTTGAATTTTCATAGGGAGAACATAGAAAAGTGAGGAGCACCATGTTTTCTTTTTCATGCGAACAGAAGTTCATTTGTTTTTCATCATCCCTATACATTATTGTAGATGTGACACAATGATTGAACTTTGACAATAGAGGGAGAATTTGACCCCCCCTCCCCCCCAAAAAAAGGGAGAAACTTGTTGCTGTCGGGTAGCAAAGAGAGAGGGAAACAAGAAGTCTAATAGGTCGAAAGAGAAGGAGAGAGAAAATATGAGACAACCTGGATGGGCAACATATGTGTAGGGTTTGTTTTTAATTTTTTTAATTTTTGGATGGGCTTATAACACATGTAGGTAATTTTTTTTAAAAAAAATTGGGCTGGGCAGGCACCCAGCTTGCCCTGTGCATAGCACCACACATATTCTTGTACTTAATTAATATGTAACATAGGCAAATTAAACGTGGGTTAAGTCAGTTGGCCAAGACAGTGAGTCCGCCCCTCTTACACCCAGATTCGAGTACCCCCTTCCTATAGATTGAATTAATGTAAAATAGTTTAAACTATTGCTTATATAAAAAAAAATGAATAAGAAATAATTACATTAACAAAGCAGTCATGAAAGTGAAGGCGAAGGAGGGAAGCTCCAATGCGCTTTTCTTTTTTCACAGCAGACCGCACAACAGATTTGACTGCATGAAAAACCTTAGGGCAACTCTTCGAATAGAAATTTGTAGAGAGCTGAGCAGAAGAGCTCCCTGTGAAACCCACAAGAAGGACAATCACCCATATGGAACACAGAGAAGAACTCCTACCAGAAGCCATTGGTAATTTCAAAAGCTGATTAAATTAACAAAGGGTTTAACAAGGGTTTAGGAGTGTGGTTTAGCTTTGGCAGCTTGAGAGAGCTTTTGGTGTATGCATGGAGATTAAAAGGGTTTATATTTATAGAGGAAGAAATGAGGGAAGGGGGAGTTTAGCGCTGGCATGGTTACCTAATCTGAAAGACTAAGACCAAGTATAAGCAGTGCATGACATGGGATTTCTACGTCTAGAATTTAATTAAATGCATTATTAATAATAATTAATTAACCAACTGTAAGGATTGAAAATGATAGACCAAGTAAACACCAAAACACGTTTAGTGAAATGAACCATGCAAATAATTGAACAATTCCAACCACACAGAAAATAATTGGAGGGCTTGGTGTTCGTAGCTTAGATCGAAGGTTAATAATGTTAAATTTATCGAGCCTAAGAGTGTGGGAAGACCCTAATTTTTCTTTTCAAATCATTATAAAATCTTGAGTGAGGGTGATTTTCATGTTTAAAAGATAAATAGAGCTAGTAGAGTGAGAAAGTAACTAGGATTCCTCATATTCATATTAGGTCATCAATTATAATACAAAGAGATGTCAATGGGGATTCAAACTTGAGACTTTTGGTCTGCAAAATCAAGATCATTTTTCAACCTTATCTCTCTATATACTGAAACTATAAAAAATAAAATAAAAACACTTTTTTGAACGAGATACAACCACTAGAGACTGGAAACTAAAAACGGCCAAAAAAGAGGAAGACACCAACAAAAAAAAGAAACTTCAAACCAAAGGCAAAGCTTTGATAAGATTAAAGTAAATTGCAAAGACTTATCTAGCTTCATGTAATTTCCATCCTTTCTTCCTTAAGAGAAATGTAGGCACGTAAAACCAAAATAAATAAAGAAAAACAGTGCTCTTCGAGAAAAAATAGAAAAAGGGCTTAAATATTATCAGACAAAATCAACATTTCTGTATATTATAAAAAAAAGTCTGTGACGGAGTATTTTTGGCAGGTCGTCTGTAGCTATCGTATACAGATGGACAAGGGCTTTTAGACAAGAAATTTTAAGTTTTGAGCGTGACGATATGACATTTGTAGCCAAGCAGAGATAGGGTCATTTTAGTAATGATGTTGATTTGATTATTGATGTATTAGTTAAGGATGGATAATCATATCTCAACCTTTTTTTTTCTTTACAGAGTACGAAAGCAAAATTAAGGGACTAAAATTCAAAGTTAGGCTCCATGCAAATTATGAAAATTCTATAAATGCAGTTTCATTATTGGGATTTCTTTCATTGCCATAAATGTAATGTAGAGTTGTTGGACCACTTTTTATAGCGAGGAATTCGTCAAGTATAACATCATTTGGTATTAGTTTATGTATTTTTAGAATTTATCAATTGAAAGTTTGTGATAACGAAAGTAATATTTGCAGAGAAAGTTAAAGAGAGAACACATAGATTTCTAAGAGATTTTTACTGTTTGTATTTTCTTAATGAACAATTACTGTACACAAAAGAGCTTTATACAATTGCTTAACAATTTCTAACTAACCACGAGAACACAGAGATTTCTAAGAGATCTTGTGTGTACGGTAATTGTCCATTAAGAAAATACAAACAGTAAAGATCTCTTAGAAATCTGTGTTCTCTCTCTAGCTTTCTTCCTCCTTATCTTTCTCTACAAATATCACTTTCGTTATCAGTTTGGAGGGATACATACCCGTTTCAGGCTTGTATGTGACTCCATCAATTAATACACTAGCGAACTGTTTCAGACTAGTAGCGGTGTCATATTTCGGATGTGACTCCACCCATAAATACACTAGCGGTGTCACATTTCGACTTGAAATGGTCATGGCTCTACAGATACATAGAGAAATGTGTTTATATATATCCATTCTGACAGTATATAATACTAGTTCAAGTAATGTGATTTTCTTATGTACTACTATATTAGAGATACTAGACGCCCGTCTTTGAGATTAAAGAGGCAAGAGGGATTACGTCTTCCAACAAAAAGGTTGGAGATAAAAAAAAATTTCTTTTATTTTTATGAGAGAGAAAATAAAATTAATGATTGTCTATTTAAAAAATTAAAACTACTTGCCAAGTAATATTTAATCTCAACCATTGAAAGTTGAGTAATCTAATGGCCCAAAAATTGTGTCAAAAACGTAATGCCACATATCCGTCCCCTATTTTAATATATCTATTTTCCGTAGCACTTTATTTATTTATTTTCTGACAAGAAAGTCTGAATACAACTTTTGTGGATGCCAATTGTTGGTGAATGGAAATAAATATAAAATTTAATTGGGGTGTAAATTGATTTGCAAACATTTGGAATATTATTCGAGAATTAATCCTACAATATTCTTAATTTTTTTAAAACTTTTTTTTTTAATAGTAAATATTTTATAATATCTTGTTTCTAAGCATCTATTTTAATACAATGATATATATGTCCAATAATGCATTCTTATACAGTAATTAATCAAACCTTAAACCTTTAAATTTTGATAAGTTAAACCATCTTAATCTCTCTCTATTCGTTCAAAGTCGACCGACTTTCTATTCTCTGTCTTTTTCAATTATTTATTTAAGAGGAATTCAAGTTGAATGAGTTAGTGATTCAGATTTTGCCAAAGAGCAAGGCTTGACTTCTTAAAATTAAGGAGGAGCTTCTGCTAAAATATGAATATGGTTTGAATACTTTGGGTTCACTTTATTCTTCTCCATAAGGAGGTACATATAATATATCTGCCAACTGATCTTCTAATTTTACGAATGGTAGGCGGATAATCTTCTTCTCAAGTTTTTCTTTGATAAAATGTCTATCCACCTCAACATGTTTAGTTCGATCATGTTGAACTGGATTATGGGTAATATAGATGGCTGACTCGTTATCACAATGTAACTCTATTGGCTTTTCTTGCTTGAACCCCAATTCTGTCAATAGTCTTCTGATCCATAGTAATTCACAAACTCCGTGAGCAATTCCTCGATACTCTGCTTCAACACTCGACCGAGAAACCACATTTTGTTTCTTACTCCACCAAGTGACTAGATTACCTCCCACAAAAGTAAAGTAACCTGAAGTAGAGCGTCTGTCAGTAATAGAACCAGCCCAATCAACATCTGTATATCCAACAACTTCGAGATCTTTATTTTTGAGAACATTAATCCTTTTCCAGGTGCTAATTTTAAGTATCTTTAGATTCGATCAACTGCATTCCTGTGGGACACACTGGGTGAATGCATAAACTGACTAACCACACTCACAACATATGCAATGTCTGACCATGTGTGAGCTAGATATATCAACCTTCCAACAAGGCGTTGGTACTGTTCCTTGTTGGTTGGTTCTTGATCCATGTCTTCACATAACTTATGATTCATCTCGATGGGTGTATCAGCAGGTTTGCATCCAAGAATTCCTGTTTCAGTGAGTAGATCTAATACATACTTCCTTTGAGACAGAAATATACCACTTGTGGACCTGGCTACTTCAATTCCTAGAAAGTACTTCAGATCACCTAAATCCTTCATCTCAAATTCCTGAGACAAATACTTTTGTAGTTTCAGTTGCTCTCCTGTGTCGTTTCCAGTTACGACTACATAAACAATCAATGCAGTAAGTCTTCTTTCGTCACGCTTTAAGAACAAAGTGTGATATGAATTACTTTGTATATATCCAAAATTCATATTGGATTTAGTGAATCTGCCAAACCATGCCCTGGGGGATTGCTTTAACCCATACAATGACTTTCTGAGCTTGCAAACTTGATTTTCCTTGTCACGAGCTAAGTTACATGTTGGTGGCAAATCCATATATACTTCTTCTTCCAAGTCTCCATGTAAGAAAGCATTTTTGACACCAAACTGATGTAATGGTCAATCTAGATTTGTTGCTAGAGACAGAAGGACTCTGATAGTTTTAATCTTGGCTACTGGGGCAAAGGTCTCTTGGTAGTCTATCCCATATCTTTGCGTGTACCCCTTCGCCACGAATCTAGCTTTATATCTTTCAATGGATCTATCTGCTTTGAGTTTCACAGTATAAATCCACCTACATCTCACTGCCTTATTTCCATGAGGTAATGGCACGAGTTCCCATTTGCCATTCTTCTAGAGAGCTCACATTTCTTCATTCGTGGCTTCTTTCCATTTTGAGTCTTCTAGTGCTTTAGTGACACTGTTGGGAATTGGTATGTCTGCCAACTGCTTTACAAAGTGTACCCATGACTCTGATAGTTTGTTGATGGATACATAATTGTTGATGGGATATTTCCCTTTTGCATTAAGATCTGATTCATAGTGAACTGGAGGTTTTCCACGGTTCTTCTGTTTTGGAATCTGGTATGTAGGCTCTGTGCCTTCTGAAATTAAATCGTCATGGGATATTTCATTAATGTTATCAGTTTCAGGAAAAGATGTTACCTGAAGGACGTCCTCAGCAGGTGATTGGTATGGTACTGAAGATGAAGAATTCTCCTGAGCAGGCAAAAACTCTTCAATGTTCTCATCTTGAGTTTGAGAGCAGGGAGACGACTAGTCACGGTCCTCTGGCGACCGGTCGTTTTGAAGCAGATTCGGATTTGTGGGGGGCCACCCGTCATTTTCAACCAGCGACCAGTTGCTTTCAGGTAGAGTCTCGGGCCATCGGTCACTTGCTTCCTGCAACCGATCGTTTTCAGGCGGAGGCTCCAGCGACTGGTCGCTTGCAGTATGCAACCGTTCGTTTTCAGTCTGGGACAATTCTAAAAGAAAAAGTCTTGAAATTTGAGAGGTGTTGGCATCGCGATGCTCCTCCTGTACGGTTGAAAAATATATATCGTGTTCCCGGAACACAACATCCATAGAAGAATACACCTTCTGACTAGGAGAATGATAACACCGGTAACCTTTCTAATGAGGTGTGTAACCAATAAAAACACATTTTTCGGCGCGGGGATCCAATTTGCTCCGTTGGTGATCATGTAAGTGGAAAAACCCACGTAGCCAAAAATCCGTGGTTCTAGGTTTTTGGGATGAGGTATTTGGATATGGTGGTAGAGTGTTTGAAGGGGGGGTTTGGAAATTGAGGATACTGGAGGGAATCCGATTGTTAAGGTATGCTATAGAGAGGATACCTTCTCCTCAAAAAGACCGAGGCATATTGGCACCAAAGAGAGAGGCACGAACCACTTCCAATAAGTGTCTATTCTTTCGTTCAGCCACACCATTATGTTGGGGAGTGTAAGGGCATGAACATTGATGTATGATGTCATGATCTTGTAAGAACTGATTAAGATCATGGTTGAGAAATTCTCTGCCATTGTCAGACCAAAGAACCTAAATTCGGGTATGAAATTGTGTCTTCACCATTTGATAGAACTGTTGAAACTTGGAACTGACTTCCCCTTTTTTTTGGATAAGGGAAACCCATGTCATACGTGTGCAATCATCGATAAATGTGACAAACCATCTAGCTCCCCTTGGAGTGGTAATTTTAGCCAGGCCCCAAACATCAGAATGAACAAGAGAAAATGTAACCAAACTTTTATGGGAACTTAAGGGAAAAAGAACACGATGGCTCTTGGCTAGTTCACAGATGTCACACATAAAACTGGAGAGATTTAACTGGGAACATAAGGAAGGAAATAGCTTCCGTAAATATCCAAATGAAGCATGTCCAAGACGGCAATGCCATAACCATACTTCGGAAGTTTGCTTCTCAACACTCGTACCCCTAATTTTGTAAGTGTGACTGAGTCTAGCTTCACTGTCAGATCCCAAGTCCAGATAATAGAATTTGCCTCTCCTAGTACCACAACCAATTGTCTTGCTGCTGAGAATATCATGAAAAACACAATGAGTAGGACAAAAGGTTACAGTGCAATTCAAAGTCGTAGTAATTTGGGCAACAGACAAGAGATTATGATGTAAGGATGGAACAATCAATACATAATCCAAAGTGAGGGAGTCAGAGAGAGAGAGGGAACCCTTCCCAATTACTGGAGAGGGGGTACCATTAGCATTAGACACCACTGATTGAGAAGACGGTGTATGAGAGGTAATTTGTCCAGGATCAAAGGTCATGTGATTAGTGGCTCCGGTGTCAATGACTCATATGTGTTTCTTTGAAGAACTATGCAAAACATAACTGTGGGAACCTGTTGTGGCAATTTTGGAGGATGAGGAAGTGGAGGCAGTGGTTTGGAAAGATGAGACGATATTCATGGCAGCTGAAGGATTTAAGAATAAGAGGAAAATGATGTGTTTAGGGTTTTGTGATAAGAGAAAAAATTTGTGTTTAGGGTTTCGTGATAAGAGGATATGAGGATTCGGGTATGAAGATCTGAATCTGAAGCTGTAAATATGAGGAATTTGATTTAGGGTTTGGGTGTGAAGAAATGTGATATGAGGATGTAGGGTTTGTGTTTGAAGAAATTTGATATGAGGATTTAGGGTTTGTGTTTGAAGAAAAAATTTGATATGAGAATTTAGAGACAACCGAGGATCGATTGCTCTAAAACTATGCTAAAATATGAATATGGTTTGAATACTTTGGGTTCACTTTATTCTTCTCCATAAGGAGGTATATATAAGAGTTTACAGGGTGCTATACAAGGAATTAGATATAGTAAAGAATTAGGAAAATATCTCCTAATTAAACAATGATTTATCAACTTTATAAAAATAGGAAAGTAAATCCCTTAATTAATCAAGGAAGTAAATCTCCTTGATTAATTAGAAGACTCACGTCAACAGCTTCTCCTTAAGATCACTTGTTGTATTCTAACAAAATTGACAAAGTTTCATCAAAAAAGAAAAAAGAAAAAAGAAAACTAAAAAAAATGTACACGTCAAAATCACATTGGTTGTAATTTCATCAAAAGATTTGTTTGGAAGGTTAAATAGTGATAGGCTATCGAAATAAGTAGCAAAAAGGAAAGAGAATAGTTCTATCTCATTTGAAACGTGTGATGCAAAACATGCAGTACGTTGAAAGTTTTTCGGAGATGGTTATTGTTAATTAGTTGCTATGATTGACTGTTTGTCATTTCCGTCATGAGAATCACTGACTATATAGAGCTAGTTGGGTGCACTGGATCGATATGACTCCTTTCCGTCATTGAACGATATCATTAAAAGTAAACATTAGGGCTAGGTGCTGTTTGGTTCGGTCCGGTTCAGAGCTTAACTCGAAACTAGAATCGGTACTGTTCATCCGATCTGGTTCGGTCCCATTTTAAAAAAAAATAGAAGAAAAACTAGATCAAGCCGAACTGTTTGATCCGATCCGATTTTCCGATTTGAACCGGTTTGGGCCGATTTTCCGATTATGTAAAGTTTGTTGTTAACTTGTTATAATAAAAAATAATATAAGAAAAGGTGAATAGATTGGCATTAATGAGATTCAAACTCGTGCGCCCTTGTTAAGTGGAGATGCGCTGGGAAGCCAACTCCACCACAAACACTTTTGTGCAAATATTTAGCACGCTATAGTATATATACACTTCCTATAATATTAATATATAATTTAAAGAATTTTTTTTTCAGGGGCCCTGTGCGGTGGCGCCACTTGCACCACCCCAGGGCCGCCCCTGGATACATGAGTGACTTAGTACCACATTGAATTCCTATGAGGTTCAAATTTTTCAATATATTCATCATCTCTATGTGTAGAGTAAGTGTATTGTGAAGAGTATTTATCAAATGATAAATCCCCAAAATAGTTTTGCATGTAATTGTTAACATGTCACCCATATAAATATAAATTTTTAGCATATTATCACTAAAACATAAGTGATATATGGTGGTTAAGGTGTTGGAGGAGTAAAATGGGAGGGGTTCAAATCCCCCCTATAAAGATTGTTCAAGTAGGCAAGACTAATAGAACTGAAAGTGAAGGTGTGGATCGTTTACCGGATCTACCCGATCAAAAATCCGATAGGGAGAAGAAAAAAAAAGCCGATACGGAGTGATCCATGTACAACAGACTCTTGATTTTTAATCAACCACCTCAAGTTCAAAACTTCATCTTTTCATCAACATTTACAGTTAAACTAAGCATATACATATTCATTCATGATCATATTTTCATAGAGAGAGAGAGAGAGAGAGAGAGAGAGAGGAGAGAGAGAGAGAGAGAGAGAGAGAGAGAGAGAGAGAGAGAGAGAGAGAGAGAGAGAGAGAGTTACAACTGCTTACTGCTACAGAACTGAAATTTGAGGCTCTTTGAGCTCTTGGGCAATATAAATACATATATACAGAGACAGGCTTGGGCAATATCTTGGGGAGTTGCTTGAGCTGTGCGATAGCGGCGAGATCTGCATCTGAGAGAATAGAAGGAGAGAGAGAGAGAGAAAGAGAAAGAGGGACTGAGGGAAAACCTAATTCGCGTAAACTAAAAGGGGTTTGTTTCTGTTTAATCAGATATGACTAGTTCTATTCTAACAAAATAGAATTGGCCTAATAAAATAATATTTTTATATTTTTATATTATATAATATATATTAAATACTGGACCGGTCCGATTTTGTCTTATGTAAAATTGGAACCAGAATCAGTTTAAACTGGTTCGGTCCAATTGTGTTGATTTTTCATTTTTTTTTTTTTTCTCCCCCTTTTTTTTTTTTTTTTTTTTTTTTTTTTTCTTTTTTTTTTCTTTTTTAGTGTGGTTCAGTTTTTCCGTTTTTTCGGGTCATATGCTCGCCCCTAGTAAACGTGTATCAAACGTGTTTAAAAAAATGAATTGAGATTTTACAAGCAAACATGGCAGTTCTTTGCGTCATTTTCTTTTTCGGGTCAATACAGACTAGAGCTTGATGTTGTAGCTACCCAATGAATTAGCTACCAAGCACTATATTGAAAATAAAAAATAAAAAAAATAAAAGTAAAGCAAATATATATATACTTAAATTTAATGCTGCCCTTTCCTAATCATATTTATCATACCTTATTGACCTTCAACTAATAACAAACAACAGAGGCAAGTGCAATTTGCGCCTCAACCCAACCCAACCCAAAACAATGGGCTTCAATTAGTACTTTCTATTTTCTTAGCCCATCATAATGTTGGGCTGGCCTAAACCCTACCAAAAATTTCAAGGTTCTTTTTACAAAAGCGTTTCTAACAAAATCGTTTTTGAGCAAAAGTACGTCATGCAACTAACCCTTAACAAACAAATTAGGGGTTAAAGGCCCAATTTCCCAATTTGAGATTACTGTCACTTTTTAAAAAAGTTGCTTTTGCTGTGCTTTGAAAATAATTAGTTGTAAAATAAAGCAACTCCATGTTTGGTAAACAATATTTTTAAAGTGTTGTTAGTATAAAAAGCAGTGTCAAAACCGTTTGGTAAAGTTTAATATAAAATTGTTGTAACTGTGAATAATGACTAAAATAGACATGATGTTAAAAATGTTATGTACTAATCATGTGGTGGTAGTGGTAGTGATGGAGTGGAGATGGTGGTGGTGATGAAGGTGGAGTTGGTGGTTGTGGTAGTGGTGGAGGTGAGGATGATGGTTGTGGAGGTCGTGGTGGTGGTAGTAGTGGCAGCATGGTGGTGGTAGTGGTAGCATGGTGGTGGTGGTGGTGTTGGTTGTGGAGGTGGTGGTGGATGTGTGGAGGAGGTGGTTGTGGTGGTAGTGCTGGTGGTGGTGGTGGTTGTTGTGGTGGTGGCAGAGGATGAGGAGAAGGATGTGGTGGTGGTGGTGGTAGTGGTGGCAGTGGCGGTGGTTGTGGAGGTGGTGGTAGTGGTAGTGATGGCAATGATGGTGGTGGTAGTGGTGGCAATGACGGTGGTTGTGGAGGTAGTGAATTTGGTGGTGCAAATGGTGGAGTTAGATGTGGAAGTGGAGGTGGTGTCATTTCTTAAAATGAATGCTGGTATTTTGGAAATTAAAAAAATTCATTAAAGGTTTATCTTTGCTTCTTTTCAAAGCAGCTTTGAAAAGCAACCTAGAGCCTGCTTTTAAAAGCTGCTGTCAAAAGGCCACTGTTTTTAAAATAATCGGGATATTTTATTTTTACCAAACACCTTAAACTGATTAACTTTAAAGTGAAGCAGGCGATTGTTGAAATTGGATTAGTGAGAAATTAATTGAGTGATTAAGAGTAATGAGAGGCGATTGCTTGTATCAGAGAAGGCGAAGAAGGACGAGATTAAGAAGGCGGCGTGCGCGGCGGAGCTGATGGTGGACGCAATGAACGGCAGCATTCAAGAGTCGTTTGTGAACGAGAAGCTAATTGAGTATGAAATTAGGGCCTTGACCGCCACCATCACTCGCTTCACCAAACAGACCGATCAATGGCTCTCTGTCACTCATTCTATGAACTCCGCCATTAAGGTGGATAGAATTTCAATTATGCATTTTCTGTGATTTTCAGTTTTTCTTTTGTAAATTTAATTAATGTTGGTTTTTCAAGATGGGGTTTTTCTTCTTTGTGCGGCAGGAAATTAGAGAGTTTGAGAACTGGATGAAGATCATGGAGTTTGATTGTAAGAGTATCACTGCAGCTATTCACAACATTCACCAAGCATGATCAAGCAGCAAGGTGTTAGTCTTCACCAATTTCCATGTAATTTCTGATTATCTTCTCTATAATTTGTAAAGCATCTCAATTATAGAATAATAAACCTTGCTTCTTTTTGTCCCATATGGTATTTCTCTTTTCACAATGTGCAAATCTGCTTGAAAACTAGCTGAATTTAGTAGGATTTATTAGGGAAATTAGGACAAGGCTGCCAACACGGCTGTTATAATGTATCAACGACTGATAGTCACTCAGGCAAGTGCCGGGTGAACTGTCCCTAGCATCCCTCTTTATGAGTGAGAGGGAGGCAAGTATATATCTACCTTGTTTTACTTTGGTCACAATTGACATTGTAATGGCCTTTCCAAAATTTAATAGAAATAAAATGAAAATTGTATTTTGAAGAGGTCCAATGAAGAGATGAAAAAGGAAAATGTCAAATGCAAAACGCAGCAACTTGTATCAGAAAACAGAAAACTCAGGTTGGCTTTTGGCTGACTCTGAGTTGAGTGTCAACATCTTAGGGATTAGGGTTAGGGTGGACTAACCAATAGCACAAGTTGCTTACATCAGCTAATTCTGAAAAGGGTTTAATTAGATGAGATTTGTATTATAATCTAGTACTAATCCTCTTTTTCACCGTTGACTTCCCAGTAAGACTTGGTCTGAACGGTGATTGTTAACCTGGATTTCATTAAAAATTAATCTTAAGAATAGAGTCGGCCACCTAACCATTTTCTTGTTTTCTACTTCAGTGTGGTCGTGGAGAGAACTATCATTTTTTTTGCAGATTGTGTGCTGGAGGAACGACTTTGGGTTCTGCATTTATCTTACTTACCCCAAAACAGACACCAAAGTCTTTGTAAGCAGCTGTGTTTTGTTAATGTAAAAACAGAAAACTATAATCAAATAGAGATAAAAACAAACACCAATGTGGGTTTAAGCATCTGTGTTTAAAATTAAGCAGGGGGTTTCCCGATCGCAATGCCTTGCAACGCAAGACATGAACGGTGGATATTAAAATGGTTTCATAATTAAAGAGATGACACGGATTAGGGTGGTAAGCAAAGCTGCTTTAGCATTTTGAAAAGAAAAATTAAAGTCAATACAGTTGGCTTATATATAACATACTCTGCTAATTAATTAATTGAGGGTTCGGCAAACTTTAGAAAGGAACTTGCCATATGTCAAATGAAAAATACATAGCGTTACATCAGACAATGCGAATTTGACAATATCAAACAAGTACCAGGTACCACCTCAACAAAGATATCAAACATTTGGGGAAAAAAAACTTGGACGACAAGAAGTATGCCATGTCTTGCAATATAATGTCAAAGAAAATCTTTATTATTAAATAAGATAGTTCATTTTTTGGGTACATAACAACATAACAGATTACACTTAGCCATGATCATGAACATCAAATCATGTCAATGGACTTCAAAAACTTTAATTGTTACAGAATAGGCCAACAAATGTATATCAAGTTAACACCGTTTCTCACACGCAGTTTCTTTCTACGCATGGAATGACCAAAAACAAAATATACAAACTAGAGAGAAACATATAGGTGCAAACCAAACCCGTGCACCTCGCACACCAACCGAAAAGTGAGGAAAGAAAACTGGAGGATTCGTACCCTAAACCTCCTCCAAACCAAGCTCCGGCACATGTTGGACAATCACTTAATCCTAAAAGCTTAAACTTTTAGGAAATGGTCACAATGTCTATCAAGCATATAGAATTGAAAATTCGATTCTAATTGATTTTCCGGCAGTTGAGTCTTACTTCTCCATTATTCCCAGTGAGAGGCTTGATGTTGCCCATGTTGATCATAGAATTTGCAAAGTCTTTTGCAAAAGATTCCGAGTTCCTGCTGTACTTCAGCACCAGCTTATCACTATCTGTACCATTATTTTTATAGAGCTCTTGATCAGAATGGAGGAGACCCTTTTGTTGTAACAAAGCCTTAAAGTAGATGTTATCGAATCGCCTTGTAGTTGAATCTAGTGGCCTTGTGTTGTTATCTCCTCCAGTTGTTGGACAATTGTATTTTGCAGAGGCTGCGAACTTGGGGTCTATGTTGGTATCATTGTAAATCCTGGCACGGAAGGTGGTGCACCGAGCAAGTCCAATGGTGTGGCCAGCTGAGAGCACAACCAAGTCTTTCAGGTTAAGTCCATGAGCTTGGAAGTTGGAGAGAAGCTGTGAGAAGCTGAATAATGGGGGTGGAAGATTTCTGTTTGCATCGTTCACGCTTGCATTTCTTGCATCCCTTCTTCCTAATTGTACTTTGTAATCAGGTCCTCCCAACTAAAACACAAACACAAAATTTCATTAATAAAAACATTTCATTCCATGTCTAAAGAAAATGAGTACTGTCAGCATCACCAAATTTGTCCGCCAAATGAATATTAGGGTTTAGTATGAAATTGGAACGTATACTGGGACAATATTTGGTGAACACATCTGATGAACCTAGCAATATTAGCAAACATGTATATACTCACAATGGATACAGAATCACGAGCTGCAACAGCTAATATATCTGCACATGAGACCACACTCTTGTAGCAAGCTTTGTCGACAGCTTTTTTGATATCATCGATCACGTTGAATCCCCGGATCGAATTCAGATTTGGGAAGGCGGTCTTCTCACCGATGAAGTTGGCAGTATCATCAAGCAGAACTGATCCATCACAACCCTGTATCAATTCAACCATGAACACATATCAGGAAAAAAAAATTAGAACTGATCATTTACATGAACAACTATTTCAAGGGCACTATATGCATGCACAATCAATATAAGCTTAATTACATTAACAAAGCAGTCATGGAAATGAAGGCGAAGTAGAGAGGCTCCGATGCGTGGCTCCTGGCTGATGGCCCGTTTGACGACTTTTCTGATAGCTGGCAGTGCCTGAGGGCACACTTTGTTGTAGAAACCAGAACTTAGTTTTGCAGATGTTGGCATCATACTAGTGGCAGCTACCACTACAAAACAGATGATCACAAGGAAAGATCGAAGAGCAGCCATGGCAGAAGGTTTTAATCTTGTCGAATTGGTGAATAGTGATGATGAAGATCAAGGAGTTTGAGTGCTTATATATATAGAAAATTTACGTTGCCCACTTGTTATTTCCAATTATAATAGAAAGCTTGTTAAATTGGATGTATAGACCAATTCTAATATGAGTAATTTTTGGTGCCTAGTATGATTTGATGATTGCATGGACCTGTTCCACGTAATTTGGAGCGTTAAATCCTCTTCTCTGTCTTTTCGTCTGAGCCAAGAGATGTAGAAGCTAAGGCAAACATACCACACCTCTTTTAATACTGAACTAATTAGTGAATAATTAAGATTGATTAACAAATATTTGACCAAAAAAGAGTAGTCAGCACTTGCTGATAGAGAGTACATCAAGCTGATGATCAGAAGTTTAAGGGCAATTAATTTAATTAAAGGACGTGATTAAGTAGAATGATTAATGGCTTTCTGCTGTCACTTATTTTATGAACAGTATAGGTAGTGCCATTAAGGTTTCATGCCACTTTTCTTTTTAATTATGTATTTTTTTGAAGTAGTTTTTCATTTCCTTGCAAGTTATAAATGCTGGTTTTTAAGGGTGTGTTTATGTGTGGCACTGGCAGGAAATTGGAGGCATTGAGAACTGGATGAAGATCATCCAGTTGTGGAATGAAAAATAAGTAGAAGCTATTGTTACTTAATTGTTGTTGACGATGACATGCCCCAATCCAGATACGAATACGTGACAAGTGTATTAGGATCACCTACTTCATTTCATTCAAAGTTGACATTGGAGTAACCTATCTAAGATTCAACAAGAAATTCAGTGTAGCTTAGTTTAAAAGAGGCCACATGAAAAGATACAATAGAATAATGTCAACGTGTAAATCATTGCTTGTACCAGAAACTCAGGATTTGGAAATTGCCAAGGCTGCTTCCAAATTGAATGTCAACTTCATATGACTTAGCAGTAGGTAATTACTAATTACGATGGATTAACCAATCAAACAAGTTTCTCAAATATCCGTTCAAATCCAGTCATTCTTTATCTTCACCATTGACTTAAGACTTGGTCTATTAACTAACCTAAGATTCCATTAAAACTTTAATCTTATAGTATATAGTTAATTGGTCACCTAACCATTTACTTGTTTTCTTATTTAGTCTGCAACTTGGATACGGTCGTGGGAGAGAGAAACCATCGCCATTTTCAGATTGTGTGTGGATGTGGAACAATGTTGTCGTCTTGTCTTCTTCCCCAGAATTAGACATCAAAAGTTGGTGCAAGCTAAGCAACGTCTATTCTTTTTTAAATCAAACAAAAACAGAGGGGTTTTCCCAATTTCAGAATCAAAGCCTTGCAAGTATGCCGACGGTGGATATAAAAAAAAACAGTTTTATAATTTTATATATAAATGATGGGTAACCATGATTTCTTGTACATGATTTATACTAGAAGTCAATTACTTTTGGCTTGTTATAATATACGTTTTGCTTTGCCGTTTAATTGCCATACGTCAAAAGACGATCGAGAGACTTGGCCTTTTCTGCCTCTCCTCCATGATCTTTGTCTTCAATATTCACAACATGAATAGAAGTGTCATACAAGTTAGCATGATATTCCCGCGTTTCATTATTTCAAACAAGTACCCCCTCCATAAAAATATAATAAACTTATTATTCAATATGAGAGTGTGCATTATTGTGAACATTAAACCATCCCTATACTAGGTCGATCAATAATAATGCTAGAGACATCATATTTGCTCGTTAAATAACGATTCGATATTTGTTAGTGACAAATAAGATTCATAATTGACTCAAATTTAAACAAATGAGGCACTTTTTACATCATTTCGTGAACAAATTTTTTTAAGTGTAACACTACTCCATCAGGAAGCAAACTTGTTTAGTTAGAATATTGGACTGCCCGCAAAAGCACAAGAACTAATGGGAAGAACAATGGTGTGGCATTGGCAAACTGCCCTCCGATACTTAAATCAGTAGCTAGTGTTGTAGAAATGAATTGACAAAGAGTTTGCTGATCCTTTCTGAGATAACTAGCTAAGGGCTCTAATAATTTGAATTAAGGACGCATTTCATGTGGAAAAGAACTTTTGACGGAAATGCGTGTTGTATTAATTGTAATCTCAAACAGCTACTAATTAATAATTACTTAATGAACTTTTCCATTTATGTTAATCAGCTTGTTCTTGGAATTTTTTGAGAGGAAACGATATATTACATTTATAAATCAAGTACAAAGGCTATTAGCCATAAAGATTAGTACAAGAAAAAATACAAATACCCATTTAGGGTTAATATAAATGCGGAAGCACTGTAACCACGAAGCATATTTATAATCAACAGTTGAATCTGAAACTTTAAATTCCCATGCGCCTGCATGTTCTGTATCAATTGTGGAAAAGAACTTGGACAAAGAGAATCTGTATTTATTCTTTTAAAATAGTCCCTTTTTTTTTGGGTACATAACGAGATAATGAACATTAAATGATCATGAGACCACACACTAATTGATTTTCCTGCAGTTCAATCTCACTTCTCCATCATTCCCACTAAGAGGCTTGATGCTACCCATCTTGATCATGGATGCCGAAAAGTCTCTTGCAAAAGCAAATGGGTTCCTGCTGTATTTCAGCACCAGCTTATCACTATCAGTGCCATTATTTTTATAGAGCTCTTGATCGGAATGGAGGAGACCCTTTTGTTGCAGCAAGGACTTAAAGTAGATGGTATCGAATCTCCTCGTAGTTGCATCCAGTGGCTCTGTGTTGTCATCGCCTCCACTTGATGGGCAGTTTTGTCGGGCAGAGGCTGCAAAGTTGGGGTCTATGTTGGTGTCATTGTAGATCCTGGCTCGGAAGGTGCCGCATCGAGCAAGTCCAATGGTGTGGGCAGCTGAGAGCACAACTAGGTCTGTTAGGTCCAGTCCATGAGCTTGGAAGTTAGAGAGTAGCTGTGAGAAGCTGAAAACTGGAGGTGGAAGGTTTCTGTTTGCATCATTCAAGCTTGCAGTTCTTGCATCCCTTCTACCTAACTGTACTTGGTAAAGAGGCCCTTCCAGCTAAAACACAAATAAGCAAAAACAAGAATTTCATTACGTTTTGATCTGGATATATGTGTTCAACGATAAAAGTGATCGTAGGGTACTTTAGTTTTAAGTAAGATACAAAAATGCGCATACTGACACATTATTTGGTGAACATTGTACTTACAAGAAATACAGAATCACGAGCTGCAACTGCCAATATGTCCGCACATGAGACCACGCTGCCTTTGCAAGCTTTGTCGACGGCATTTTTGATGTCATCGATCACATCGAATCCCCTGACTGAATTCGCATTTGGGAAGGCAGTCTTCTCACCGGTGAAGCTAGAAGTGTCATCAAGCAAAATCGATCCATCACAGCCCTGTATTCAAATCAGCCAAATAAATCATCTGCATTTTAATGTACATGTATTGCAAGTGCAATGCATGCACACAATCAACTAATAGCTTTATTACATTAACAAAGCAGTCATGGAAGTGCAAGCGCAGCAGAGAGGCTCCAATTCTCGGCTCACGAAAGATGGCCTGCTTGACGACTCTTCTGATGGCTGGTAGAGCCTGAGGGCACACTCTGTTGTAGAAACTAGCACTTAGTTGTGCAGAGGTTGGAATTACAATAGTGGCAGCTACCACTACAATACACACTAGCAAAGATCGAAGACCAGCCATGACAAAGGTTAGTTTCTTTTTCTTCTCAAATTGCTGAGTAGGGGTGATGACGATCAAGGAGCTTGAGGGCTTATATAGAGGAAATTTGAATTTCCCCACTGGTTATTTTCATCAACCAATAATTGCCATGTAAATTAATAATACATACGGCTAATGTGACCTCATGGACTAATGAAGCTTTTGTTTAATTTTTACTTATTTTAATGTATGGACCAATTCCGCAATATGAGTAATTTCTGGTGGGGTGCCTAAAATCCTTTGACCCAAAGGGTTTTTAATTTGTTTCATACAACATATCCCCATGCAAAGATGGCTAAAATTTCCCACACAATATTATACGTGCCTATAGCTATTTCAAACCATTAACACCTATAATGGGTTTTAACCTTGCATTACTCTAGTAAGGGGCTTGTAACTTAAGTATTTAAGAGTAGTCTCCTATATCCGAGATTTATGTTTGAATTTCCCAAGTCTTATGTTTGAATTCCCCTTCCCCAGTATCGCTTGTCTAAAAAAAACCTCGAACGCATGTCATTCGCGAAATGATACAAAGACGTGTGGCTTAATGTATATGATAAAGGCTTGCCAACTCATGTTGGTCATTTAATATTGATTTTAAAAAAAGAGTTGGTCAGTTAATAATAATAATAAGGGATGTTGAGGATATGTTTGACCACCGAAAGTCGTATATATTTCTTGTTTTTTCACAAATGTCAAACCTTTGCATATAACTCGGGATATAGCTCTCCGAAAACAAAATTAGCTGTTCAACCTTAAATTTCATGAAATTTCAATCTAATAATATTTCTTATAAGACTAGAATTCTTTTAATTTCATTATTTTTGCATATTAAAGCATTTAATTAAGGTCTATCATTTCTTCTAATGACACTTGAGCTAAAGTTATTAGGCCTCCTACTCCTTAAGAATCAAACTTTCACATGCTAACAGGATTTCCAAGGCCCCCTTCATTTTGCTAAAATTGCACAAAAACATTTTATACATGTTACTCCCATGACGCTCCTTATTTTAAGTAAGGGTAATGTTAGGCTTACCACCTCTCTAATAGAGGTGGAGCCCATCGATACAATGGGGCCCATCTCTATTAGAGAAGTGATACACAATGTGGTATAAAAATGCGATAAGCCTAACATTTTCCTTTAAGTAATAGTATGGTTGAAGCACATTGTTGACATATTTCTCTATATTTTAGCTAATCAGCTCCTTTTAACTATTCCTTCGGAGATGCTCTAATTGAGTAGTTGTTCTATGTAATAAGAAAAAGAAAATTAAGATTAGATTAAGTATGAAAATAGATTCAAATGTTAGGGACGATATTAAAACGAATAAACTTCTGGCAAAACAAAAAAAAAAAACAAAAAAACAAAAAACAAAATTCACAAACTCAAAAGCTCTAACTACAACACATTGAATCAAAAATTGAAACAAAGTGCATGCATGTGTGTGTAATAATTATAATTATAATTATTTTTTCTTGTTTGCAGCCAAGAATTTCTTTTATATTTTCAATAGAGTGGTAGAAAAGGTGTGCTTATAGAATAATACTTTTTTAGGAAAAAAAAAGATAAGGCTAGGTCTTTGTAGGAAATAAGAAATATTAAAATGGACATAAAACAAATGCATGAAGAAGTAAATAGAATATTAGGATAATTGTTAGTTCACATCTAATAACTTACCCGTTCAGAAATAGTATAGTCACAGCCCCAAACATTTTATACAAAATCAATGGAGGCTGGAACGAGTCCACTACCAATGGAGAGTGTATGAAATCATATATTATTGAATTAATGGACTTATTAATCTCGTAATTAGTCTATGCATAAGATGATTATTGAATTTGTTTTGAATTAATCTTCTATGAGATCATCTTATTGAATGGAGACTACACTAATTTAATATAGGAGTTAGTTAAAATGATGGAAGCATAGGAAGCTAATAACAGTGTTTTATCCCCTCTATATATGAACATTTAACCTCTTCAACTTGTTGCGTGCAAATTAATCAGAAGCAGCTATCTCAACTAGTACATATCCATGGCAGCAGCTAATTCTCATCAACCTGTCTTGGTTTTGTTCACTACTTTTGTTGTTGCAGCTGCTATTGTGTTGGCCCCAACTACATGCACTGCTCAACTCACTTGCGATTTCTATCAGCAGTCCTGCCCTCAGGCATTGCAAATCATCAGATCAGTTGTCAACGAAGCTATTAATCGGGAGAGGCGCATGGGAGCGTCGCTCCTACGCTTGCACTTTCATGACTGCTTTGTCAATGTAGGTTTCATTTTTTGGCTTTGTTCAACATTTTATATTATTTTAGTTTTTTGTTATTTCTTGTGTACAAACAAAATCATACTTTTCCGTGAGGTAGCACAATATTGTTGTTGATTATGTTGACAGACTGTGAATATGAACCGTTAATCATATGAATACTTATTTGCACGAGTGTTACAAAACCAAACCAAAGGTTGAGTAACTTTAGAGCGTGAAAGGTTGAGGAATAAATCTCACTTTAGAAACTGTACAGTTTTTTACCTAACAAGAAAGGAGATAGTTGTTTAACATAGAGCGTTTTTTGAATTATTACATACGTTCAAAAAACTTTAATGAAGATTTTAATACTGAAAACATTGACTATAGTTTCAATTTTTCCATCTTGGTGGCAGGGGTGTGATGGATCGATTTTGCTGGACGACACAGTGAACTTCACTGGTGAGAAGACGGCGGGTGCAAATCTGAACTCTGTTAGAGGTTTTGATGTAATTGATGAAATTAAAGCAACCCTCAATACATATTGCAATGGCAATGTGGTCTCATGTGCTGATATCTTAGCAGTTGCAGCTCGTGACTCGGTTGAGATTGTAAGTGTTAAAAAAAGCCTTCGATGTTTAAATTGTCTAAAAAGGATTTTTCTAGCCATTTTATATTTTGCATGTTATGTTGTTAACTAATAACAAATGAGTGTTGCTAAACAAATTTTAAAATTAATTGAGTATACCATATTACCAAACTATTTATTGAATTACTAATTTATCCTAATATAAAATGATAAAAAAACAAAAACAAAATTAATGTGTACTCAGTTAATTTTAAGATTCGTTTAGCTTTTTTTTTCCTTGATGTCCTCTGCCTAATGATTTCTTGCAAATTCAAGATATAATTAGAAAGAAAAGATGATTGTTGTTCAAAATTAATAGGATTATATCCATCCTCAACCAAACCTCAAATAATTAATTGTGGAAATTTTAAAATGGTTGGTTTTTGACACGTCAAAAGTAGATTTTTTTATTGTCTCCTCTGCTTGATCTACATATAGTATTTATTGTCTCCTCTGCTTGATCTACGTAGTACCATAAATTCATACATCAATTCGCTACGTGAGTCCATCAATGGTGAGGCCCTACTGTCAACAACCGAATACAAAATGGGTTTTGGAGTACAAATTTCCATCTTGGACGAAAAACAACCCAATATTTTACATTGTTATTGCCTTAGCTAAAAGAATTTGAGATTTTTCGCACAAAATATTGGCCGATTTGAATTTGTTTCTTTAAATTTCAAAGGAGAACTATCAAAAGAAAAAATTTGGGTTCTGGTACTTACCGTTGGCCGTTGCAGATTGTCAAAGGCAGAGAGAGTGACACTATTATTTCAGTGATACTAATTTACCCTAATATAAAATGACCAAAAAGTATTAGGGTATAGCCGGCGTATTTTGGTAGTTAATTAGGCCACCTCCAATGCAGGCCCTTTTGCCAAGGCAAGAGGCCCCTTTGCAGGGGTTTGGACCTCCAGCGCGCGCCAAGCAGCCTGGGCAAGATCTGCCTGGGCTCAAGCCCAAAGGCGCTGACGTTAGCAAAAAAAAAAAAAAAAAATTTTAAAAAATTTAAAAAAAATTAAAAAAAAAATTAAAAAAAAAAAAAAAAAAAAAAAAAAAAAAAATATGAATGTTTTCCCTATAAATACATAACAATTTTATTCACTTTCCACACCAAATCCTCAGACAAACTCTTCTCCTTCCAATATTTGTTAATTGTAATTATTTTTTCTTGCATTTGTAAATTGTTTGTATTTTCTTTCATATTTATTTTTTCTTGCATAATCATTTTATTTCTTGCATTTCTAAATTGTTCATATTTTGTTGCATAAAATCTTTTTTTTCCTTGCCCTTGCCCTAGCCTTTTGGGGTGGAACCAAAAAAGGCTAGGCTGCCACTATTCACGTAAATAGTAGCAGCCCTTGCCTTAGCCTTAGCCTTTTGAGATGGACATGCTCTTAGGGTGTACTTAGTTAATTTTACATTTTGATTTAAATATTATGGTGTACTTAGAGTATATGGTGTACTAAGTTAATTTTAGGGTTCGTTTAACAGCACTCTAACAAATTAGCCTAATTAAAAATGGATATATTGGTCCAACTCTTGTGCTGCTTGTGTTTAGCTGGGAGGCCCTTCCTATTCCTATGAAGTACAATTGGGTAGAAGAGATGCAACAACTGCAGTCTTGGATGATGCAAACAGAAATCTTCCTGCTCCAACTTTCGACTTCTCTCAGCTTCTCTCCATCTTTCAATCTCATGGTCTAGGCCTGCAAGATCTGATCCTCCTCTCAGGAGGCCACACCATTGGACTAGCTAGATGCACCACCTTCAGGGACAGGATTTACAATGACACCAATATAGACCCTGAGTTTGCAGCCTCCTTGAAAGAGGGTTGTCCTGTAAATGGTGGAGACGACAACACGACGCCAATAGACTCAACCACAACGCAGTTTGATACCGTGTACTTCAAGTCTTTGCTGCAGAAAAAAGGTCTCTTCCATTCTGATCAGGAGCTCTTTAAAAGTGATGGCAGTGATAGCGATAATCTGGTGCAGCATTACGCTAACAGCCCCGAGGATTTCAAAGTAGATTTTGGGGCTTCCATGATCAAGATGGGTAACATAAACCCCCTCACTGGATATGCTGGTGAGATACGGCTCAATTG